TGCCGGCATGTGCAAACGTTACTTTGAAGTGCTGTGAAACTATGCAATACATTAACTCACTTACCAATGACGCTGCAGACACTGCAGCCTCTCCTAGCTTCCTTCCCATTTTCCCTTTTCTTGACATTGACAGATGTCAAGAAAATTCATTGCAACCCAAATTGCACTTAAGAAAACCACTATTATGTCATAATAAAATACCACTTGGATTTAGCATATCTGCATGTATTGGTTCCCTACAGTATTCCCATATCACTTGCAGATGTAAATAATAAAAACAAAAGATTAACCTTTAATGGAGGTCGCATCATTTTATGCAGATATTAATATTGATTCTCAAAGAACTACTACCTTAAATCAATTTGATCATTTTTTAATCTTGCTGGGAGCATTTCCAGCCTGGCACTTTTTCTTTAGCCCTCAATTTTAAACTTTTGCGATTTCTAATCAAATTCTGAAGGAAAACTTGAAAAACCTTCACAAAGCCAAGAGAATTATTGATTGAGATCACCTTAAAAAACCTGCAAGCAAAGGGAGGGAGGGAGGGAGGGGGTGAGAGTGATTTAAAACTTTTGCACCGTTTTATAAACTCACTTTAATGCATCACAGATCAAAAGGGGCACCTAAGGATAAAAAAAAGGAAAGAAAAACTCTAATTGCTGACTGAACTATAATTATGTGTGTCTTCCTCACATATCAAAGAGTTTTTCCTCAAATATAGAAATATTTACTGACGGTAAAAATAGAATAAATTGCTGTCTGGGTTCAAGAAGGAAAATAAATGCCTGGAGAAGCAAATGAACATTTTTCCTGGAGCCAATTGCTGGTTTTGCATATTGAATAACTTTCATATGAAGCATGAACATCTCAAGTCACAATGTAATTTCGGTAGCTTTCTAATGGTCTCCCCATGTTAATAAGTGCTCTACTCGGCACATTAGAGTGTTTAAGGTTTGTTAGGATTGAGCCTCATAAACGTGCAGTAAGTTTGTTTCTGAAGCTTAGTTTGTGGCTGAAGAATAACGGGAAACTATTTTACACATATTGATCGTTGCGCTTTCATTGGAAGCGATCGCAGTTGGATGTACGCGTTCCTGGTTGCTCGATTACTCGGGTCACGAGGGATCCCTGCTTATTCACCCCTTTTCAGCTCACTTTGGATGAAAAGGTTAACTACGTAAATATTGGATTTCTCTGAGAAAATCATGTTACAGCGGCCTGTGGCAGGCGGTCAAAATGACTACAGTGGAGTCATTTTTAGTACATACTGAAAACCCCTGCCTGCTGATCCAAAGAGTTTGAAACGTCGATCTGTTAAGTAAAGGGAACCACAATTCTGCTGCTTACTATTTATTGCATTTTTAAATCAATCAAATTTTATTTGTATAGCACATTTCAGCAGCAAGGCATTTCAAAGTGCTTTACATAATTAAAATAAAAACAGCATGTAATAAACGGAGATCTTTTGTAATCTAAAGAGTAAAATATTCCCAGGAACCTGAGAGAATTATTGCACTCGAGCTTTGCAGTGGTGCCTACTTCTAAAAAATGTTGATGCGTTGCTACGATCTTCCATAATAACCTTTATTTTGTTACGTTTTAAGACAAATGTCGCTTTGCCATGCTGGAAACAGGATGTACTGAAAACGTCACACATGTGCAGGCTCATAAAGCTGGACGCATGGCGGGGGTCTTGTTTATATTTTCAGCGTGGCTGCCAGTCCAAATCTGCTTTTCAGCTCTGCTGCTACTGCTGTCCTTCTTGACTTAAAAAGTCCAAAAAGAAACAGGAAAGAAAAATATCCTTTTTGCTTCTTTTTGAGCCTTCTTTCATATTAGAAGCAGCATATTGTATTGTTAACCTCAAATCAGGTTAGATTTTGTTGTAACTTTCCAATTTATGCAGTTATCCTAAAATGCCAAATCCAGCTAAACAGACAAACATTAACAAATGAAAAGTAAAACCTCTTGTAACGCATCTCTTAAGAAGACATTTTGTTTGAGAGAATAATCATTATTTATCCCTACATCAGATTTTACCTCCCACTCCAGATTAAGTTGTCAAGGCTGCACATTCTTCTCTCTGGCGACACTCTTGAGCTCATTGTGAGATCTAAATGCTTCCCTTCACTGCAGAGTATTCGCAGTATATTATCCCTCCAGCAAGTTCTGCATCTTGCACCGGGTCACCTCCCAGAAGTACAAGACAGAATCGTCGCCGTCAGGCGGCGACCGGGAGGCATCGTAATCAGATGCACGAAAAAGCTCAGCTGTCTTCTTTCACTTCACAACTGAACTGAAAAGGCTTAAATATGATATAACATGTTTCTGTGGGGGATTTGAAATATCTTTTTTTTTTTTATCTTTAATGATATTATCTAAAATGTATTGAATGATTTAATTGAGTTTGTTTGGAAATGAAAGTCTGAGTCGGCTAATTGGTATTCAAAACTCAATCCCTAAATGTGCCACTATTTCCTTGCTCATGAGTATATCACGTGTCTGCAAGAGTACACAGAAATGCTTTCTCATCTTTCAAAATTACAACCACAAACTTCAATGTTCTCTTTAAGAAAACCAGTACAAATTAGTTTAAAGCTGTAAAGCAGCAGAAGAAAAAGGACAGTTTCCTAATCTTTTTTTTTTAAGTGTTTCATGCATGTGCATTCAGCGGCCTTAAGATTCCATATCCGTAAATAACAATCAATGCAACCAATTTCCTTCAGAAGTCTCCTAATTAGCAAAAAGAGACCACTCAGAGTGGATGAATTCGGCTGTTGAGTGAATGCCTCAGAGGTTTGTTTGAGAACCTTAAAGAACAGAGGTTAAAATTGTGGAGATGTTTGAAGCGGGTTCAGGTGAGGGATTTTGTTGAATGTAATTATCAAGTGTTCACTCCACAAAGGAAAAGTGGCGAGAAGAATCCTTTATGGAAAGAAACCCAGAGCACATCCTGTTGAAATTATAGCAAATCTGGTTTTACAACACTTTTCATATTTTCATTAGTAAAAGAAAAAAAAAAAGTATTATTCTTCCACTTCACAATCATGTGCTACTATGTTGATCCGGCAATACATTGTTCAACAAGAGTCAGTGCAAAGCTTAATTTATTACAGCTAGAAGCGACTGACCAGGCCCAGAATCTGCGTGGACTCGGACCTGAACCTTCAGAGACGCATAAGGACAATTACATCTAACCATTAAATGTAGATTTATTAGTCAGATTTGGGAATGGGCACCAGGTGATGTTCCATCACCTGAAGAACTTTTCTAGGATTAAAGGACTAAATTCCCAACAGGATCTTGTGGAGCTCATCCATGCATTTATCTTTACTCACACTGATTACTGCAATGACGTCTTTAGAGGTCTGCCTAAAAAAAAAAAAAAAAAAAGTCAGACAGCTGCTGCTTGTGTTCTCACTAAAGCCAGGAAGATGTAGTGCACATCACCCCAGTGATGGCTCCCTGTAGCTCAGAAATAAGACTTTAAAATATGATGTTAGGTTATAAATCATTGAATAGCGTAGCACCACAATATGTTAATGATGTGTTGTCGTTGCTTTGACCTTCCAGATATTCTGTTTCTAGTCTGCTCTGCATTATCAGAATTGAAACCAGGCATTCAGTTTCCTCCTCTAATCTGGAACAAACGTCCAGAAAACTGCATGACATCCAAACACAGTGTTCCTTAAAATAAAGCCTAACAACATATTTGTTTAGAGTTCCCTTTAGTTAATAAGTGATTTTCCACTTATTAATAATAAGTGGAAAATCAATTTCTGACCTTGTCGCTGAAATCTGGTTTACCGATAATCATGACCTCACTTGTCATTGTTTCTAATGGGCATGAAAAGGGTTAACTGTGCCACAACAATTACTGAGCCATTACTTAACCCCTTTGAGCCATTAAATCTAGTTTTATGACCTCTTGTCGGATTAGGCACGAGCATCAGTTAAAGCCCGGGAGTCTTTTACAGCAGGTCAGATTACAATAATAATCTGCTTCCAGGATGGAGCCACGTGTTGAAGAATATGTACGAGTTCTAGAATAATCTTCCATGTCCTTTGGCAGGAGGGCGCGGCTTTTGCTTATCTCGACCGTGTCCCGTCTGCTTCCCACAAGTCACACCAGGCACTTCATTTGTTAAAGCCGCGGTGGCCTTGACGAGGGGAGTCGGATTTGAAACGGATGCAGCATAAATCATATGGTTCTGACAGCACTTTATGCTGAACACCTCTGTATTTTTATAATCTGCTATGCAAATTAAAGACCCACTCGGAAATCGCCGCTGCCGTATGGACTCGTGCAGAGTAAAATGGGGCCGTGACGATGTGGCACGCCACCGATTAAAGCCGAAACTCCAACTTTTAATTGACTGTAAAACTTAATAGGGGGATATTAGCAAGTCAGCGAGCCGGTCCGCTATCACAACTCATGTTATCGCCACATTTTAAATCAGAATTATCCCTGGGTTAATGTCTCATGCAGCAGAAATGACCCCGGAACGCAGTATTTTCTTAGGGTTTATGAAGTATGGAGTAGTGCATGTATCGATTTTGATGTTTCATAAATAAATAGAGATCATAAAACACCAAAGTAGCTTGTAAATGGGTTTGGGAAGACCGGGGGTGTTGTAAAGAAAGCATCTGTCATGGTAATATGCCGCAGCTCGGCATCTTGATGTTGATGTTACTTGTAATTAATACAGATTGCAAGCATATCGGTTAAACACGGCTTCACATGGTCTTTACCTTTTAGTTAGGAACTGCAACACTGAGCATGTGTTTCTGGAAGTGCTCCATAAAGCCGACCCATAATTGAAAAGGCTGTAAAAACACCTAGTAAGCTTCATCATACTAAACGATCACCTCTAAGGAAGAATCGATGAGCTTTGTCTAGTTTGTCACTTCTGCATTTCCCCTCCCCCGTCTTCAATTCACATTTCATGCTTCCCTCCTAGCTAATCGAGTGTTGATCTTAAAAATGGTCCAAGATTCAAAATTGCCGAGTTCTGTGCCCCACAAGCAATCCGCTCATGAGAGGCCTGATGCTGAGATACGCCATGTAGGAGCTGCTTCTGCAAAAAAGCACACAAATGTGCGCGGCTGTGCAACAAGAAGACACTTTTTTTTTTTTTTTTTTTTACCTAGACTGTAACATAACAGCACCATGACCGATCAGCCTTTTTCCCCCTCAATTTGCAGGTCTGGAGGTGGTGATGGTAGTTCTGCTGCTCAAGATGAGGGAGAGACAGAGAGAGTGAAGTGTGGGAGAGAGTAATTTCACTGCTAGTTTGTCAAAAACCTCCACAGTCAATCTTGTTCTCACAAGCCTGGAAAGCTACATAAAAACTCCTCTCCGTTACCTTTGGATTTGTCATCCTCCTAACAGACTGCCGGCCCGCTTCGTTCGGGTTAAAACCCGGCACGCAAAACGACAGACAGCGTTTTTCAAATTTTACATTTCAAGGAACTCGTGCGCAAGTGTCTCATCAATCTGTTGTGACGGTAATTTGTCACAGCTGCTCAAAACTACACTAATCTCTCATTTTAATTAGCCGCTGCACTCATGCCAGCTAAAACGTACAGTGACACGAGTGGACACGCTAAATGCTTTAATGCTGTTCGCTCGGCGAGCTCTGCGAGCTCGTCTTGCCCGAATAGCTCAGCGGGGAGGCCGCTAACTGTCTGACACAGAACATGATGGTTTTTTTTTTAAACAGTTCCCTCATTTGCATTTTAACTCGAGGGGGAAGGAGAACAAATGAGGCACAACCAGTGGTGGGAAGTAACGAAGTACAAGTACTTCGTTACTGTACTTAAGTACA